TATCATATAATCATTCAAGTCATGTAACTAATACTACTTTTTAATTTTTTTCAAAATCTTCGAACATAACAAAAAAGTAAAAAAGTGCAACAACTTTGAACGTTTATAAAAAATTGAAAAAACATGTTCTTACTATTCGTAAGTATCTTAAAAACTTCCTTACGGTATCAGCTATTTACCGTAAAAATTTCATCAACCTAGCTTTACTACATGCTACCGTAATTGTGGCTCAAATAGAACCGAACCCAAAATTGGATAACCCTCTGCTCAATAGAAATTGTTAGTTTCGGAAAAAAAATTTGCAAAAACCACAAAAACACGTTTGATTTTTACTGAACAGCAGATTATTATTCATTTATGTTATTTACAAGAGGTTTTCAAAATGTCTGCCTCTAACAGAAATGCACAGTGTACACCTACGTATGAAGTTTTGTTTTAAATCTCTAAATGCTTGTGTGTTGTTTTTCAACACATGTGTCGCTTCTTGAATTTTGTTCCTCAATGAATTTTCATTTGCACATTCTTGGGCGAATGTTATGTCTTTAAAATATCCCCAAACAAAAAAATCAATGGGGTTGAGGTCAGGGGAGCGTGGAGGCCATCGTATCGGTCCGTTTCGTCCGATCCATCTGTCTGGGAACCTTTCGTTTAAGTAGTTTCGCACGATCGTTGCGTTGTGGCATGGTGCACCATCATTCTGGAACACCATGTTCCGTCTGGCTTCCAGGCTTGAATCTTCCAGCAATAATGGTAGGCTATTTTCAAGGAAGCTTTTGTAGGCTACCGAATCCAACCTTGACGGCAGTTCAAATGGACCGATAAATTCCATATTGAATATTCCTGACCACATGTTCACACTAAAACGGTGTTGAAATGTCGACGGCCTTGACTGGTGGGGGTTTTCAACAGCCCAAGTATGTAAATTATGGATATTGAATATCCCTGTTCTTTCAAAACGTGACTCGTCAGTCCATAAAATTTTATCAAAAAAATCGGGATCCTCTCGTTGTCTTCGCAGCATTGTCTCGCAGAAATCCACTCTTAACTGGTAATCTGAAGGCATCAACGCTTGAACTCTTTGAACATGATAGGCGACAAGGTTATTATAAAAAGTCAAGGCAAGTCATATGCCGAGCTCTTAAAAAGGGTAAAGAGCAACGTCAATATACGGGAAGTGGGAGTGGACATCAAAAGACTAAAAAGGACAAACAACGGTGACCTCCTGCTAGAAATAAAAGGTACTGAAAACGCGCAGAAACTAAGAAATGTTATCAAAAGTAATGTAGCGGGAGTAGAAGCGATCCATAAGTCATGCTGCAGGTGATAGGTATAGACGCGGATATTGAAGAAGCAGAACTAACAAACGCGATCGGCAGATATTGTAGAGCGGATAGTAGCTTAAGGGTCCTGCCACTGAGACAAACGAGAAGCGGGGGACAAATAGCAAATATACGCGCAAGCAAGGAGGTAGCAGAAACCCTTATTAGGGAGGCGACTCTTAAAATAGGATGGCCTAGGTGCAAGGTCCAAAAGCGCATACACATCACAAGATGTTTCAAATGCCTGGGATATGGGCACCGTACTGGGGAATGCAATGGAGAAGACCGTTCAGATGTCTGTATCAATTGCGGAAACAAGGGACACATCGCAAAGGAATGCACAAATGGGTCTTTCTGCACCACCTGTAATAAGGAAGGTCATCGGGCAGACCAGTTTAGGTGTCCATCTTATAAAAGAATATACAGGGAAGAACGCACAACCTCGCACAAGCTACAGCAAAGGGAAAAAATGTGGACGTCATGGTAATCAGTGAGCCAAACCTCAACATGTCAAAGGGGCCAAGCTTTCTCATAGACAAAAATGGAGTCGTCGCGGTAAACATCCTGAAGTTGAAGCTCTTTGGATGTTACGTATCCCCAAATATACCCATGAATGACTTCAAGAACTACATAGACAGAGTAATGAGCAACATCTGCGATGGTGGATGTGAAGTAATCTTTGCTGGAGACCTAAATGCAAAATCGGCACTCTGGGGCTCCCCGATCACGGATCAGAGAGGTAGATACCTGGAAGAATGGCTGGCAGAATTGAACTTAGTCGTGGTCAATACGGGTGACCTCCCTACCTTCCAGAGAGGAGAAAGCCGCTCTTTTATAGATGTAACCGGTGCTTCTCCAAGGGCAGCTGCTAAAATTTCAAACTGGGAAGTCCTACATGGCGAAACGCTCAGCTACCACAACCACATATATTTCGAGGTAGGGTGGCAAGGTACTGGCCAGAAATCGGGCGACAGCAGACCGCTCTTCGATGCGAAGGCTTTCGAAGAGAACCTAAGGCACTCCAACTGCAAAAGGAATATGAACGTGAAACAGCTCATGTCTGTTTTGGAAGATGTCACGAAGAAGAGCACTATCTGGATTAGGAGGGAAAGAAGGAGAATACCCTACTGGTGGACAGTGGAAATCGAGCAGCAGAGAAGAACATGTCTTGAATACAAGAGAAAAGTCACCAGAGGACGAGCTAGGCTAAGTATGTGTGAGAGTGAATGGAGAGGCGTAAATGAGTTGTACAAAATGGCGTGGAAGGAGCTAAAAAAACGAATTGCTGCATCAAAGAGGGGTCATTGGAAGAAGCTGTGTGGAGAACTTGAGGACAACGTTTGGGGCTCTGCTTACCATATTGTTATGAAGCAAATAAAGGATTATGCTTTCCCTTTCGACCTATCCGCAGCGAAAAAAGCAGAAATAATCGATCACCTCTTCCCCAAGTCAACCGATACCTGGCTGAAGGGACAGAAAACCGCCGAAGGTATTGCACCGTTTACCCTGGAGGAGATACAAGAGGCAGCATTGGAAATTGAGATTGGAAAGGCTCCTGGACCTGACGGTATACCACCGGAGGTACTGAAGATAGGGTTGGAGGTATTGCCGGAGACGATACTAGGCGTGCTGAACCAGCTACTGACTCTGATATGGAAGGGAAAACCCGTGGAACTACCTTCCTCGCACAGACCTATCTGTATGCTGAGCGTAGTGGGAAAGTTCTTCGAAATACTAATTAAACTTAGAATCGAAGAGGAGCTCAAATCGAAAGTTGACCTGTCAAACGAGCAGTATGGATTTAGGAAGGGCAGATCACCCGTCCAGGCAATTAAAGCAGTCGCGGATAATGTATCGGAGACGGAAAGCAAGTGGTGCGCACTGATCACTGTTGACGTAGAAAATGCCTTTAACTCGGCTACTTGGAGCCTAATTATTAAGGAACTCCGACGTAGGGAAATTTCAGCATACCTGATAAACTTGGTGGAGAACTACTTCCAGGACAGAAAGCTTCTCCTAACGAAGAGAGAAACGAGGGACATCTGCGCGGGAGTTCCTCAAGGCTCAGTCCTTGGGCCTCTTCTGTGGAATGTGCTTTATGATGGAGTTCTGGGTCTTGCATTTCCACAGGGAATAAAATGCATTGCGTACGCTGACGATCTGGCGATCATAGCGGAGGCAAACTATTCCAAGGAGCTGGAAATCATCACGAACGAAGCGTTGGCAAGAATCAGCGAGTCGATGGCAGCAAACAAGTTACGACTTGCCCCACAGAAGACGGAAGCCGTGATACTGAAGTGATCCCTCAAGAAGAGCTCGGTGAATTTCCAATTCCTTGGCACGAAGATAGTGACAAAGAGACACCTCACGTACCTGGGAGTCGTTTTAGATGGCAACTTAAAGTTTGGAGAGCACGTTCGTCAAGTCATCAGGAAGGTAGATGCTAGGATGGCCCAGCTATCAAGAATACTACCAAATACAGGAGGTCCTTTGTGAGGTAATCCACTCCGTGGTCCTGTACGCAGCTCCTGTATGGCACCGTGTGGTCCAAGTCCAGAGATATAGACAAATGCTCTTGAGTATCCAGAGGAAGGCTTTGCTGCGGATATCGAGCGGCTACAGAACAATGTCCACTATGGCCGCTCAAGTAATAGCTGGAATACCCCCAGTCACTCTGCTCATAGAGAAAAGGCTCCGCCTGTACAGCAGGGATGATGCTAAGCTTCGTACTACCAGGTTGCTGGAAAGAAGCAGAACTTTGGAGAAATGGCAGCGTGTGTGGAGCGACCACTCAGAGACGGCAATGTGGAGCAAGACTCTGATCCCGGACGTAAGACGGTGGGTTAGCTGTAAACATCGAAGGCTAGACTTCTACTTCACCCAGTTTCTATCGGGCCATGGATACTTTGGGGATTACACCAAAAGAATGGGAATCACGGAGGGCAGCATCTGCGGTTATTGCGGAGAGGAGGACTCCCCGGAGCACACAATCTTTGTGTGTCAAAGATGGGCAGCATGGAGGAGCAATACAGAGTCTGTTATCGGTGCGGAGGTCAATAGCAGAAGCATCACCATACTCATGATGAAAAGTAAGGAGAACTGGAACACAATACAGAGGTTCGTTCGTAATGTGATGAACGCAAAGCGCAGGGACGACATCCTGCACTAGCAGAAGAAACGAGCATAAAGAATGCATCTGAAGACATGCCGCAACAAGTGGTGCTACTGGATGTAGTCTTCAGCCAGAGGAGGTGGTTTAGTGAGTAGTCAGTCTACTAGAATGTAGCTGGAGTCCCACACTCCCATGCGCGCTGGAACCACGGCGTATGGGGTCCGTAAAATGGATTCCACCTCCTGGTCCCCCTAGGACCACTAAAAAAAAAAACCACCTATGTTCAATAAAAATATCCATAGTGAAGAGAAAAATTCTTTTGGGGCGAGATTCAAACCCCTGCAGCTGACGTCTAGCACTAAGTCACCGCGCTGTCTAAATAATATGTTTACGTCTTTGGTTTATTCAAGAAATTGCTGAAAGTTTTGGACAAATAGCTTTCACTTAACAACACCGAAGTGTGCCACCCAGGTCTACTAATTTATTTTATACCTTTGTGCTATCCGAAGAACAATAATAGTTAATTGCGTTTGTGTGCATTGATTATGAGTATCGGAAACATACGTTACCATCATCGTAGACGCTGGGCAGCAGTCGAGTAAACGTAGTGAGACTTTTTCCATAATTAGGATTCCTTAAATTGTTACAATATCCAGTGTAAGTTCTGAAAGGCGAAGATGGATCGCAGGGGCCTGTATCATCGCACTGCAGGTCGACATCGAAAGCCTGTTGAGGAATCAGCGATCCTAGGTCCACCTATTGAAGACAAATGGATAGCTAGATAAGATAAAGACATTTGACGATTGTAATATTTTCATTTATACCATAGTCATTGACTAACATATTCTACTTTAAGATGGATAACCTAATCCTATATTCAAGCGACCAAAAAATTGTGCCAGATGAAATATTCTGGTGACATCTATAAGAATTTGTCACTCATGTTTCTTCTCTCCGCACTAATTAGAATTTCCGTTGAAAAGGCTTGTGTCTCATAGATGGCGCAGTAGCCAGCCGTATTAGCATATAGCATATATTTATTTAATTAGTGCCAAGAGGAGAAATATAACTGTGACAGATTCTCATAGATGACGCTATGAGATATCATTTCATTTCGTATAACTTTTTGGACACGAGAATATTGCGTTATGTTGGCTATCGCCTGGTATAATACCTTAATCAATGTTGTAATTTATATATATGTATATGGTAGTGTAGAGGGTGATTTAAATTTCAGCTCACAATAGAAATTTTATAAACCATTAAGACATATGCAAATCGTTCAAATCGCGGCAAAGTTCCCTACGTAGCAAATGCAATTTATTTTGGAATTCCATCCCACATATGACTAGGATGGAATAAAACAGGTGCTTGAAGTCTGTTCTGCCTATCTTTGGAAATGCTCAGAACTTCAAATTCTAAGCGTTGCGTCGTCTTCTTTGGTCACGTAAATATGCAACTTTGCTCAGATTCAGGCGACTTCGCCTCTCTTGTGGACAGGGGCCAAATTTTCATAACACGAAATATTCTAACTTGTTGATCTACCTGTTGAAGTGTGTCAGACAACTCATCCCTGAAGATGGATGCGACAATATTATCATCAAATAACTGCCTCTTCCTTCTTCTATGTAACAGACTGTTGACTATCTCGTTAGAGGCAAATTCAAAGAGCAGCGATGTGTTGGCGAGTTTTAGTGCATTTTTGTTGGCCTTGCTGAAGGAAGCAGCCACACCTTGAGGTGATTTTGGGTTTACACCACCAACTAGAATAAAAAAAAGATAATTGATTTTCTCCAATACACATAACTTTAGAATGGTTATCAAAGCAAATCATACAGGCTAGCATTAAGAGTATTGAAGATCGTTTCTCTCCAACAATTTTATTTCTCCTAAGCTCTAAAACGTATCATTTGGAAATAATAATAGCAATTTTTAAATGTATTCCAGCAATTATTTTCTTTGATCTGGTCAAATCTATTTTAGATTTTAGGGTATTCTGAGTAACCTTTGTCTGAAGAAACCGTTTTCGAGTTATGAGTGTGTCACTGTCAGAGAAATCCTAAAAGTGTATATTCTCGATGCTTGCAAACTGTGTTGAAAATTACTGTTTTTGAGATTGGCTAAATTAAATCATACGACAACTTTTAGCTGATATTCTGTTTAATTTTGACCTGGGCTCAATATTGCCAAATGGTTAGAATTTTTAGGAGCTAAACATGCAATAGATTATGTCCTCACATATTTTAAATAAGGTGTAGGGCAAAACAAAGAGCACAACATCTCTGATCATAAAACTTAAACAGGTCTATATTTATAGGAGGTTCTATTCTTCGAGTAACCTAGATAACCTTAAACTGTTTCACTCCACCACACATGTCTTCAAGTTTTAGTATTAAGGACATACATCAAGCCTGGCAATTGTTTTGGCTGTCTTGATAGAACGTCCTTTTTTAACTAGAACTCTGTTGAAATACCATCAAACAAATGGGATATTTTGAGGACAGCAATGATCTAAAAATCTATACTGGAGTTATCAAAATTCCAAAGACTCTAAACTGAAAGAAACATGTAGGCAAGCTAAGATAGGATATAACAACAAACTAAAATTGAAGAAACATGAATATATTAATAACATAATACAACTAGCGAGTAATCCTACAAATGACATATTTGTAAACAGCCAAACGGGTAGAATAAAAAATGAACAAATATTAATGCAAATAAACACGAACTATGGGGCTCGGATAGATGCAGCCAAAATTGCAAATTTGCTTTTGTGAATACTTTGCAACCATAGATGAAAAGATAATTACCACAGAATACGCAAATATTAAAGAACCCAACTATATTAAAGGCAAAACAGTACTTAACTCGATGGCATTTTATGAGATATCCCCAGAAGAGGTAATACAATCTCTAAATGAATTGAAAAATAAGGATGCGTTTGGACCTGATAACCCAATAGAAGTACTGAAGCTCATTTCTCAATATTTAATATATCAACTCACATACTTATTTAACTTATCAATGCAACTGGATCCTTTCCGGATTTGTTGACAGTATCCTGTTCACAAAAAAGGAAGCACTGAGCTCTTAGAAAATTATCGCCCCATAATATTACCGTCTGTCTTCTCAAAAATATTTGAGTAAATAGTTTATAGTAGATTGTGTTTTTGAGTACAATATTCTATCTGTTAAGCAACACGGTACGGTTCAAATTAATCTGGGCAGATGCAGAGTTATTAGATATCATACTTACAAATTGTCATACATGGAGCTTTCAAATCAGTTATAAGAGTTTAAATAATCAAAATAGAAGAACAGTTAGAAATATGACACAGTGCCGAATTAAAAATACTTTCATTACCTGTACTCCAAACCCTGAACTCCATCTTCCTTCGTTCTAACAGATCATGTTCAGCTTTCGATATAGCATCCATGAGGATGTCCTCAGACAAATCCGTCATGTGGTCCATTTCTACCCACTCAGTCAGTTGTGGCAACGGGTGCTGGTCGCATGATATTTTGGCGTTCAGATAGGTGTCCTCTTGCACGAACCCCTTCGGTTGAATTCTATCCATGTCTTCAGTGTTGGAGCAAAGTAGGCCTGCTGTTGTTATCTTTTTGATCTCCTTCAGTTGGGTGGTTGTGAGAGAGCTTGGTGGTAGATCGTTTTCGTACCAGAATCTGAAGTGGAGATAAACTATTATTATATTCAACTTAGTTTAAAATTACACATTTCTTTCTCTCAGCGCATTGAAGGATAAAAATTGGCGTCAAGTAGGACTCGGCACTTCTAACGCAATGCTGTCATCAGTTCACAGATGATTATGTTCGGCATCGGGTTAACTCCTCTGAGAAACAGCTAGCTACGAGCATGTATAACAAAAAATTGAGTGGATCGAGTCAGTTAAATATACCTATACAATTACTCCATAGTCTCCACCTATTTGAGAATGTTTCGATCTTGAAATGCCTCCCCTGCCTTAGCGCCAGTACCGACCATCTGGCAACGTTGCTATGACTAACTTTGCTTACATCCATGTCAGCCACCTACCAATCAGACATCGGTCAGACCACAACACATGTATAACGTATTATCTATGTTAGTTGCTTTGCGTGCGACCAGTGTGTTGAGAATATTTCTCTATCGTCATTTTAAGGTCTATTGTACGCAGTAATCTACGATGTGTGAGATATATTATCGACTAATTACTGGTTCGGAACTGTAAGAATATGCAAAAGATAGCACATATGATATACCCTCACTCACTCCTACAATCCCAAACCAATAATATTTAACTACAACAAAAATACTTTTGAAACTGATCAGGAACCCTTGAAACGCCAAAAACGCGTTTTAGTCAATGGCATAGTTGTAATTAATTTTATCAAAATCTGACCAGTACTTTCTAAGTTATAGCGTCGTCAATAAATAATTGGCGGACAGAAGTACAAATGATTAAAGAGAAAAGTGACATTTTGTCGTTTTTTTTTTAAATTTTGTAGATTTTTTATTATACAGGGTGACTTTGAAGTTGAGTCATTAATTTTCAGATAATGATTGTAGAAGGAAGATAAACCAAAATATGTGTGTAAAAATAAAAAAAAAATAAAAAAAAAATGTTACCTTGTTTAATAAAGTATCCTCCCGACAAGTATTTCAGTGCGGACCTGTATTTGATCGTGCGTTCTTGGAGCAGCATGCCCTCACCTGTGAGGTCTTAAGTCACCTGATTCACGAGCCCTTTGTACTACATTAACAAAGGCACGAGGGGTTGGTTGCACTCGATTGGGAAACCGATTCGCATAAATCCGTGATGCATCCGGGAGCATTTTGTAAAGACTGCCCCCCCGTAAATAAGAATCATGTCCACAAGTTCAGCATTTTCGTAAACATGTGCCATTTTTGATTTCGTCTGAGCCACGCAACACACTACTATTCACTTACGCGTTATCGACTGACGAAAAACATCGTGATAAACGTTTCAAATTCTTTCGCTTTTTTGTTTCCGATGCGATGAACCGGTCAGGCGGATTATATCCGTTGTCGCCAAACACGAGCATATAATAGGCAGGGCGGTACTCAAACTTCCAAAGGGCTATAACTTTGCTACTTTAATTTTACCAGAAAAATGGTAAAGGAAAAAAACATTTCTTTTGATCAGATCTACTCACTGTTAAAATAAATGACTCAACTTCGAAGTCACCCTGTATATCGTAGGTTTTTCTACAACATGTTGACTTAGCATAAGCTGTTGTATACTTGTTATGAACTCGTCTTGCAGCTGTACATGTTGCTTAAACGTCAGCGAGCAAGCGTAGAATGCACTATTTGCACACTAAAAACCATCTAGTCTGGAAGATGACCACTCGTCGGTTTTTTAACGATTTTTAGGTTTTCTACATAATACCTCTGCCGCACCTTCTAGGATTCTTATTCTCGTCACAACTCATCTGTGAACTGTTACTCGAGCAACCAGAAGTTGTTTTTTCCTGTTATGACCCTAGGTTAATTCGAAATCCATATCACCAAAATCTCATTTACTTCTTCTTAGTAGGTACTCGTGTAATTATGATACTTTGGTATTTAGGCTTTGTTGTTGATTATAAAGATTACTGTAGAAGGACTGAATTTTTTCCACCAGTTTTGACATTCTGCAATTTTTGAGGTTAGTATATTAATACATTTCTAGCCCCGGTAGATTTGCCTTTAACAGAACGATAGAGAAATGTTTTCGCCACCCGTCTCTGCGTCTGCTGTCATGCGTCATCGGCCGGGGACCAGTCTTCATAAGTGTCCTCGTATGACCGGCGTTCTGTTGCCCTATCACGCCTGACGCATCGTGGTATCGTATGGACGTGTTTGACGGACTCGATCCGTTGAGTTTCAATGTTATACATGTTCGTTACTACCATTTTTTCTGGGGGTCTAGCTTGAACATGCTGCTTTCGTCTGTCCGATCAAAGACAACCAACCATCGATAGGTTTTTTGGCAACTGATCAACAAACGAAATTATAGCAAGTGTCTTTTATACAGGATGTAAGGTCTGTGACACTCTTATTTCGATAAGGTCTAACTTGTGCCGAACATAATTCTTTTTGAACTGATGACGGTGTTGCATGGAAACGGCAGAGTCAACCTATTGGATGCCATCTTTTCGTTATAAATATGTTATATCAATAATATTGCGAAATGTGAAAAACGCAAGCACAAAAGGATAATTGAGAAACAACAGCAATAAATAATAATTCTTATCTAATCAAACAACAAACCTATCCGTCTCCTTCAATAGTTGAAACTGCTGCTTCAAAAGACAATTGAACGTTGGTCCAACCAGCGACCCAGGAATGGGGGTTTCCAGTAATCCTCCCACCAGAAGATCAATATCCCTAGGATCTCTATACAGATACTTCAAGGCTTTGATGTATTCATCCTTGATACCACTTTTCTTCATATCATCGAAGGAAACCTTGCCATTGGTTGTGGTGTTGGTACAGTTTTGTACCACGCGAATGTATGATGGGATGCCATGGTCTCTGCCCATATGGACAAATAGAGATGCAGTGTCCCAGTCGGAGCGCAGAGACACCGAGAAGTGCATACTGGGTGTTTGGGCGGCGTTTGTTATCAGGAGGTCTACCATTTCGGCGAAGGATTCTACAGTTTCGTTCATCTGTAAACATGCAGTGTTTTTCAGAAAGGTCCCCTCCTACTTATTTTTTGAACGCATCATGTTAACGAGCTGAAATTGTCCTACGAATACTATATTTTAAAGAAAAAGTACAAATGGCGGCTGGTCGCTGTCATCCCGAAATCTGATTAACTTGTAACACAATAAACGGCGGATGCTAACGTGATTGCGCATTCTTTTTTAACCTAGAGTAATTCTGAGGTTTTTTTTGGTAATTTGCTATAAATTCTTCTGAAGTAATGTGTGACCAACAAGTCAGCACGACCGTTCTCCTTTTATTAACTTTAGCTATGGAACTGTTGCTGCTCTTCGTTGTAAACTCCAGAACTTTTCCATTGGAGTACAATAAGTAGGAAAATCAAGAGTGTTGAAATTTGTTGTCGTCAGGATTTTGATTTACGTTAAATCTGTAAGCCTGTAGGAAATAGAAGTTTGAAGCAGTGTTTGCATGAGTGTTTCCAGTCTCTGCCTATATTTTACATGACTTTCGTGACAATAAATAGAAGTTAAAAGTATGTCGACTTTACACAAGAGCTTGTTTAAAGATCTGCAGAAATACTAGAGAGTTTTTAAGTTTCTATAACCGATGATGGCATCGCATATGTAAAACTTACAATGTTGGTGGGTAACATAGAAAGTAACGCGGGAAGTGCAGTCATCCCAACCTCATTGTAAACACCTCCTCTTTTCGCACTGGAGTATTTTGAAAATCTGCCATGTGTCTTCAGTTCCAGTTCAGTGTCTACGATGGCTTCCTAAAATAAAAAAAATGTAATACGATATTGAAAGGTACAAATTATATGGCACAATGAGTCGTTCAGCACCTTTGTGAATCTTCTCGAGCTTCATTGCATTTTTGATGCCCGCTTAACTTTCTCTCTGATCCATTGTTTGGCACGTAACTACAGTCAAGGATGATACCAAACTTAGTAGGCAAGCGGCTTACTAATATGACAAAGCCTGGCAACTAGACCACCTTTTAACACCTTTTGCAGACCAGATAGATGTCATTTTTTTATTGATTCTTATTTTTTTTTTAAATTATTACTAATGAATAAACCAGCTCCAGCGAAGCGATGTACTTATTTGATCTTGCACTGATTGCGTATGTACAGATATACTACCGCGCACAGAGGATGCAATTTTCGGGCATCCTTGGTTACTGATACCTAGTGAAGCAGTGTCATTTTTATCTACTCATTCTCAAAGTTTGTTGGTCATTACTTACATCAGATCTATTAGAATCACACATTTTTGTTTGGCGTATCTGTACACATGAATCAGGGGACGCCTTTTTCTCGATTTCATGCTAGATGCATATACCTACTCTGCACTTAGCGCGACAGTATAAACAAAGACAACATCCATGGTTCGAAATGTAACTTCCGAGGTTGTAAATTGCACCCACGAGCGTTGGAGCCGATGTATTAGCAGCTTGAGGCCGTAACAGATCTGGTTACCCAGCGGTCCATCACACCAGCGCCTTACAGTGTGCTGCTTTTTTTCAAACAATCTATTCTTAATAAATGTATATGAATGACATTTTGAATGATTTCTCATAAATCAATCTTTCCTTGTGTTTTGTGCTAAATATTTTACTATTTTACTAGTTCAAATGAAACTATTTTATTTTACCGAAACTACATGGCCTGAGGTAAGTACAGACTGCGAAAATCAAATTTTCACCAATTTTAGCCTAACAGACAAGGTTAAAAATCATCTTAAAATAAACTCATCTTAAAATAGAGCAAGGTTTTATTATTACTTTGAAAATAATAAGACGTTTGTGGCAGGCGAATTTATAAAAGCCTGGATAGGCTGATAATGCAATTTGTGGCTTTAGAAAAAAATGTAAAGATAATATGGAGAATCTGTTTGTCAGCTACAATCACTCGTCAATGAATGACTTCCACGATATCGAGTGATCATTTTTGAACAGATGCAGGGATATCAGTCGAGGCAAAACTCACACGTTCGCGATAAGTTCTTCAACTAGTTTTTTTTCATAATTTCGTTTGTTGAATGTCCTTTAACATAGACCAAGAGGTAGCCGCTCGGAAACCCGGGACAAATTTGTTTAAAACAATTTTTTTATATCAATTTCAAAAAAACGTTTTCCTTGCCCGGGCTTAGGTTTTTTAGATCAGTCGGAACAAAAAGACCTGAGTAACTTTTCTCTAAAGCTGACTGGTTTCGAGTTATAAGCGACTCATTCTATGAAAAACCCTAAAAATTGGTACATTTAAAATTAAGACTATAGTTAATACCTTGCTCTACACGACTCCGAAGAGTACCTACTATGAGATTAGTTTATTTTGAATCAATTTTAAAGCTCGTTTGTAAGGTCAAAATTTGCGGAATATTCATTTTCGCAGATTGTACCTTGTGCTGTAGACTATTAAGATAATATTACTTACCTCGCCAAGCACTATGGGAAGATACTCATTGTAAGTAATATGCTGGATCTCAGCAGTGACAACCCTCTTGCTCTCCAGAAACAGTCTCTCGTCCGACCAATGCCTGTTCAGCTGCCCCAAATTCACCGCGATTCTGTTGTGCTCCTTCAAAATGGCGGAGTATAGCGCATTCGTTTGACAAGCTGAGCAGGCAGATACGTTTACCAATCCAGCGTCGTAGGTTCTTAATTTTTCTACTTGTTGGTCGGTGTTTCCGTAGACTGCTGAACCGTCTAGATAGGATGAGGCCAAGTTCATTTGGTTCCGGTAGGCTGGAATCAGAAAGAATGTTAAGTAGCTTGATGCAATATTGTGTCATTCAGAAGTGAGTTTTTAAAAATTTTATACTCAAGCCATTTTTAAAGTAAGAACAGATTGCGCACCTTGTCACGTGATGTCCGTTCAAGCTCAGACACACTTGGCCAGTCACTTATTACGCCTCCATTACGTTTCACGTCCCTGACAGTGTTGGTTGTGTGGTTATACTGCTTATATTGTTTACCTTCAACTTGCTTCTAACAGCCAAGTCTGAAAGCTGGACAGTTGGTTCTAGAAACTAACTGGCTGGACCACTGTGATGGAACTACAGAGGTATGGGTTGTTTCCTAATTAAATGTCAATATTTAAGGTGGCTATTTTTGGGTCAATTTTAGGAAAAAAAACGTTATATGAACATAAGTCCTAAAAGTCGAGCTAAACGTCTTAGCTTTTGAGTTAGGCACGCCACTGACTCCCCAAAATAATAAATTAGATTAGTTGAAACCGCTATTCATTTATGGGCAAAAATCATGCCTCCTTTCCGAAGGACCATTACATTTCGAGCATACAGTGTGACCAGGATTTTTTAAATGTTTTGTGTGATACGGAAAAACATACTTTGAAGATTAAAGTGAAATCGTACATAAAATTGTTGCCAATATAATTATTATATTATTCCTGTTCTTTGTCCACCAGTATATGAACCGCTCTGAGAGAACTAATAGATAAAGTTTAATGTAATAAAGAAAAGAAGCATATACAGGGTGACTTTGAAGTTGAGTCATTAATTTTCAGATAATGATTGTAGAAGGAAGATAAACCAAAATATGTGTGTAAAAATAAAAAAAAATAAAATAAAAAATTTACCTTGTTTTATAAAGTATCCTCCCGACAAGTATTTCAGTGCGGACCTGTATTTGATCGTGAGGTCTTGGAGCACCGGCATGCCGTCCATATGTGAGGTCTTAAGTCACCTGATTCACGAACCCGTTGTACTACATTAACAAAGGCACGAGGGGTTGGTTGCACTCGATTGGGAAACCGATCCGCATAAACATGTGCCATTTTTTATTTCGTTTGAGCCACGCAACAGTTACACCATTATTCACTACCGACTGACACTGACTGTATACAACTGAATGAAATAATTGTAAAAACATCGTTCCAAATTCTTTCGCTTTTTTGTTTCCGATGCGATGAACCGATAAGGCGGATTATATCCGTTGTCGCCAAACACGAGCACATAATATTATTATTGAGACAGGGCGGTACTCAAACTTCCAAAGGGCTATAACTTTGTTACTTTAATTTTACCAGAAAAATGGTAAAGGAAAAAAACATTTCTTTTGATCAGATCTACTCACTGTTAAAATAAATGACTCAACTTCGAAGTCACCCTGTATATGTACACTTAAACATCAATCCTTTTAGAACGTCAATTGTTCCAGGTGAGGTAGGAACTGGATTGTATTCTTATTAGGGGAGACTGGGGATAGTTGTGACATTTTTATTTCAAATTGTCATGTATTTGTATGTTTTTGATCAGTTTACCTGACTATGGGTTTATTTGATAAAGTAACTATTCAGAATATAGATCCAAGGGGTTAGAAATTACACTACACGGAGTAAAATGTTACAATAAAGATCAAACTTAATAAACTGCTTTTTATTATGTAAATGACATTTAATTATGTCTCAGGTCAGTCAAACAGAATAATAGTATCCTCCTAACTTCAAACACAATCACAACTAGTCTAACAAAGTTGTCTCTTATTTTTAGTCTTACATCTCGTAAAACCAATAATTTCAGACCTACATTAACAAAATTATAAACCTTTTATTGAATAAACACTTGGTATGAATTAACAATACGAAAATAAAGTTTCATAATCAAAAATAAGCTATGCCTTAAAAAATTAGAAAAGAAAAACAAAGAACTTCAGTCATTGTAGCCTGAACAGTCACTTTCACAATTCAAACAAACGTATTGGGCAATATTTCCCTTTTCGCATTTGACATATCAATTCTTAAAAAATACACACTATACCCATTATTCTCCAGCTTTCTTCAGATCAAAAAATTCACAACATTTCAGAAAAAAATATTATCATCTCCACTTTAGTATCGAGGGATGTAGCAAAACGAATCTAGTCGAAACAATGTTATCTCAACGAGAGCAATAGCTTGGTTGACTGATAAGGCTAATTACAAAGACATCAATCACCTAATCAAATCAATGCCCCGACAACAAATGTGAGTGTTTCGAGTTAAAATTTTAATCAATTTCTATTTATCAGTAGACCTAAAACTTGTAACAGTATGCTTAAAATTACAGCTCTCCTAGTTGGTGTTGCATTTTCTATGTCATTTAGTATATGTTGCTTCCGTAACTCCTTCGACATAATCTTACCAAACGGTGCCTGAGAAGTCATCTTCAGATTCCCAGATAGATTAACAAGAAACTTTGCCTACCTCAACGCAGAGCACACAGCCTGATGCTGATCAAACTCAAATGAGGAAAAGTTTCGTAACTCCAAAATTAGTGGCAGCGTTAGATAGATACAAACTAAGTATAAGAAATGCTGTTTATTGAAGCAACATTGACGCACTTGGACATAACACCGACTGGTTTTCTATAAACAAGTCATCCATTCAAACAATTCGTAACGAAAAGTAAAAGAAGGGCACAGAAGCTATTAAGCTTGATGTCCAAAGCGAAGTACCAGATACTCTAACTGTCCACTGGGATGGCAAATTGTTGCCATTTTTAAATGCACGCAAGTCTAAAGAAGAACGTCTACCGATTGTTACAACGTATGAAAATATAGAGGAACTTATCGCCGTGCCCAAATTGGATAACTCTTCAGACACCGAGCAGGCTCAGGCAGTTTTGGATGCTATTATTGACTGGAATCTTCAAAATAAAGCTTAGAATCTATTGTGATACTACTCCAAATACGAGTATTAACGATGCCTGTGTGCTTCTCGAACAGAAACTTAATACAGAAATGCTTATTTTTGCTTTCCGCCGTCACGTCTACGTATTGGTATTAAAAGGCGTGTCCGAATCAAAGATCGGCCAAGTGACTACTCGTACAAGCTCTGACATTCCAATGTTTAAATAGTTTCGCGAGAGCTGGAAAGGTATCGAGAAGATACAGATTTATACATCGATGGTGTAGTGCACAAATGTTGTGATTTTTTTTTTGAAAATGAGTTATCTACAGCAGCGTATTACTCAAGGGACGAAGCAGCGGATGCACAAGTGTGGTAAGTGATTAATTCATTTATAATGCTTCTAGCAGTAGGTATAAGTAACTTTGACAAATAGATTTCTATCGCAAACATTGTAAATGTACTTAACACATTTGTACATAGTAACCTACATCCTCAAGATGGTGTTAAAGGTAGTTGTCACATCTGTGGTTCACACATTTCTCCTAGGCTAAAATTAGTTGAGTTGAAATAAGACGGAATTTGAAAATATACAAGGGTATGGATACAGAATAGTAAATGAATCAGATTTTTAGAGTGGTTCAGTATATTCTACTTACACAGGGTAGCGCATCGAAAATGAAACAGACGCATTTACTGGCAGCTCAGTTTTTTTTTGGAAAAACGCTCAGACCCGTCGATTTTGTTTCCGAGGGGGACACAAGTTTGGCAAAAAATCACGTAAACACTTGCTTTTCCGACGAATGTTCCTTTTTCTTAAATGGCATAGTAAATTGTCATAACTGCCGATATTGGTCCGATTCTAATCGCAGAATTTATCATGAGGTTCATACACAGCAGCCACAAAAATTAAATGTTTGGGCTGGTATTTTTGGCGATCATTTAGTTGGTCCTTTTTTCTTACCTGTAAATTTGACCGGGGAATTTTTTTTGGAATTACTGGAAGACGCCATAGATAATTCATTAACAGCCACAATTGAAAATCAGAATGATCGGCGGTACATTGCGAATAGCTTGGTATCCCAACAGGATGGTGCCCCACTACATTACGCATTACGTGTTCGACAATATTTAGATCAGACGTTTCCAGATCGATTGGTAGAAGAGGTGCCATTGAATGGCCCCCAAGATCGCCAGATTTATCACCTTTGGATTTCTTTAAGTGGGGTCATTTAAAAAGCAAAATCTATGCTACTCAGCCAACATCATTGGAAGACCTGCGACAAAGAATTACTCCTCAAATATTGCAAAATGTGCGGCAACGTTTTGAGCAAAATCTTTATTATTGCATGGAGAGGCATGGTGGCCATTTTCAACATTTACTTGCCTAACGGGTCAGTTCATTCTTCATTTCTAAATTACTTTGCTGCCAAATGTTTTGATCTCCACTAATGATGATGTATTAGTTCTATTTAAGCTTTAAATCAATAAATCTTCAAAACTACTGTACTGAAGTACATTAATTTTATATCATTCTCAAGGGAATTGAAAGACCTTTAAAATAAGGTATCACTCGACCCCCTTTCCATTTAAGATTTTGGGGGTGGTGTCACCCCCGCTTAGGGGGTGTGCACGTGCTAACGTGATATTTTGCCAAACTTGTGTCCCCCTCGAAAACAAAATCGACGGGTCTGAGCGTTTTTCCAAAAATAAACTGAGCTGCCAGTAAATGCGTCTGTTTCGTTTTCGATGCGCCACCCTGTATAGACGAGTTGAATTTGAGAAGTGCTGCCATCGCCGTAACCCCAACTACCGAAACTGATGTTATTCAGGACCGAAGAATATTTTCATATATTTCCAGTTGGACGTACCGATATTAGGTATTAATCGGTGATCTATTGCTCACGTTCATTACTCATTTTTTACTGTATATTTCAGAAAATAAAAATAATGAGCTGTGGTGCTTCACCAACCATCATCAGTACAATGATCCTGACCCATTTGTTTCATCTGACAATTCTTAAACTCCTTCCAATCGAGCTAGTGGATCCGATAGCCAGACGAGGTAACATATCAACTCCCTAAAAAACTACGAAAAAGAAAAGCCGACCCCCAACTCTGGAAAAGGTCCGTCGTGAAGACTTCAAGATTAAGTGGCGAAAAATATGCAAATCGAGCTGGTAGAACAGTACCAGTAAAACTTCAAAAAATAGTGGACTGTTCTAAATATCGCTATAAATGCAGCAACTTTCTTTCGCAGGATGAACGGCAAATATTATGTAAAGAGTATTACCAATAAGCAGACTGCACTAGGCTATAAGTATATTTAAGTTCTCTAATAGAGGACGTCCCAGTAAGCGGAAAAAAGTGCACTCCACTGACTAAAAACTGAGCCACTTCTAGAACAATTCAATTTAAAAAACACAAAGGGTGTTAAGCATAGAGTATGCCAAAAATACGTTTGTGCTACTTTTGGTATTTCACATCGAACAGTAGAGACAATAAATCAATCTAAGAGCAGCACTAGCCCTTTTATCGGCCATGATAAACGGATAGACTCCAAGCCTCATAACGTAACTCCCTTTGCAATTAAGCAGCCAGTAATGAGCAACATCGATTCTTTTTCAAAAATCGAGTCTCATTATTGTGGACGAGACTCAAAAAAAGAGTACCTCTGACCAGAACTAAACATTTCTATAATAATTGCCTATATCAGGAATATTGCGAAGAAAATGATATGAGTCCTGTATTTATGTATTTAGGTTCGTGTATCAAAGTGTATTTCATGAACATGATTCACTGCTTTCCTTTTATAAGCCAAAAAAAGACCAATGTTCTGTATGCAATGTATTTAAGGCATCGCAAAGCAAAGAAACTTTACGTGTCAACTTCGAAAACCGTAAACGTCGAGAGGACTCACTGAAAATGAAAGAAAATGATAAAAAACATGCAGTGCATGCATTTTACCCATTCTTTTAGCAGGTGATAGTCAAGTATGTTACAAATCTCACCTCAATGTATACAACTTCACAATTTATGATTGCTCGAACAAGGATAGTATTTGTATTTGTACGTATCGGATGAAATTCACGGCAGCAAGGGAGGCTCGGAAATTGAAACTTGTCTTTATAAGTATTTGCAAAGTTTGCCTCAAACTGTTGGACATGTGGCTACATTTTCAGACACCTGTGGTGGTCAGAACCGCAACAAGTTCGTTAGCGCTGCACTGCTACACTCAGTTAATAAGCTGTCTAATTTGAAAACCATTGATCTGAAGTTCAAGGTGACATAAAAAAATGTATACTAAACTAAAGTAGATCAGGCCACGACCACACCACGAAAATATAAATGCAAATATAAAAAAGTCTGATCTCTTGTGTCTCCTTAATCACGAAACCATTCCATTGGATTACGCAGACTTTATTAACAGCCTGCCTGCAACCTGGGATCTTTCAAAGCTTATGCTACATTTCCAGTTTGAAGATGATCAATAAACTTCATACATTCACCGAGAAATTGGAAATTGTTAACTGACTCCCTTATGTAACTATTTATTTTATTGTTATCTCTTTCATGGTTGGGCCAAGTTTATAATAAATGTTTCAGTTATTTTAATTAATAAGAAAAGAACGTGTTAAGTAATAGTGCAATATGGTACAAATGTGTTAAGTGATGACAAATAAACCTTTTTTTTAAATTGTCTATAATTTTTTCCTACCCTGATTAAAAAGTATGTAATCTACAAAGAAATGTTCGAATTGCCAACTTTAATGTTCATTTCTTCAGTAATAAGTCGCTAATCAATTTTACTTTTGAGTCAAAGTGATTTTATTGTATACCGCAAAAGTAGCATTTTGGTCTTATCACATTTGTGCGCTACACCATCGACATGAAAGCGCTCTTGCCTGAATATGTCAGAGACTGATAGGCTGCTAGAATTTTATCGACATGAATTGACCAAAGAAGTTGCTAGAGATGACTATCGTGAATTAATAGATCCGTCAATAAGATTCCTTGGCGGAGAAACAGAGAAAAAATCTTAAGATTCGACCGCCAGGCGCCATGCCTCACGCTCGATGGACGGCCAGATCGATCTATTAGTTGAAAATAGCATTACTAAGTTCCCAGCTCAAACTTTCTAATAACGATAAGGCAGCTCTGTTAGATATCTGTATGTTCATCGTGACAACATACGTGAAACCGTGGTTGCAATGCACTTTAGAGGATAAAACAACCTAACCAGGCTGTATGCTTTTTAAAGGCAATGAAGGCTTACGAAAGAATTGACAAAACCGTTTCAAAAGCAGTTTTACAAAAGTTCTGCCAACATTGACGGTACTTGACAGATGAGGTATCTGTCTTATCTGTTTGACGACGACGTAGATCAGGAAACTAAAGTAAAAATTGTTGCTAATTTAGCCAAAACAGTCCATCGGCCCACGGTAAACGCTACATTCCATCGAAACTTGAACTTTCTGGTCCAGTTTATGGTAAGTCTGACGAATAAATTTTCCTTTGTCTTCTATTACTACTTCGATATAATATGCTATACCATAACCATCTTAAACTGTAATGACTCATCCATGTTCACGTGAACATCACTCAACCACCGGTAGTCGGGTTGTCACTGGCGGCGTATGAATATTTAATGTGAGTGAACTTTATTTCTTATATAAGTTTAATAAAAAAGGGAATGGTTTAAAAGACGTTATAGATCAGAAATTTGGAGATTACCTCTGTCAGCTTTTATTTTCTAATTATCCATGCGCTAATTGCTTCCACTTCCATCTGAAAGTAATGAGCTATCGCTTTCTTCGCCAAGATTGGCTATAATTGGCTCCATCATGGTGTCGATGTTGTGGTCAAGCTGTCATATTTTTGTTTCTTCCTTCACAACATGACGGACAACATTCTGCCACGCTTCAGGTGTTACTAGCTGTATGGAATTTAAAAGTGTTTGCGGAACAGTCCACATAGTCTTGTTCAAATAATTGAATACGTTGAGCACGATTTCTTTCGCGTCCTTTTTCAGTGCCTTACGAAGCTTTCTACTGTTCCGTGGCTTTCAGTACTTCCACTCCCAGCCTCACCTTCCATGGTTAAGGAAATATAAGTATAACCCGAACAATAACAACAGAAATAACCAAATAAAAATTCTTCTAACAACAAACAATATCACGCGGTAACTAGACTCTCAACGAAACAAGTTCCAAGCACTACTAGTGTACGTCAATGTATCGGGCCTTGTAGCGTGAGCGTTGAGGCGCCATCTTGTCTCAGGACCGGAATCAGTTTTCATTCTTCCTTTCACTTTAATTATGGTCATATTCATGCGCGTTCCCTAATCTTAGCATGTTTGTTGATTTTCACTGGTTTTGATGTTTTATTACAAGTATGTAGAAACAGGCAAGGACCTAATAAGGAACTACAGGATGATTGAAAATAACTATTTTCTCATGAAAAGCATTATTGTGGCCTATTTATAAGAGATCGCTATATGCTTCCGTGGATTATTTCCTTTGAAGATCCTTATTTTTGTAGTAGCAGCATGTATGTATGATCCACGTAGTTAAAGTAGCACGATCGTGATTTTTAAATACTTTATTTATTCGACTAGATCGCAATGTGGAAGCTTTCTCCTTAAAACAAGTCCGAAAATTCAGAAACCCTTTTTTTCAAGATTATTATAACAAATGAATGAGATCTTGTGAGCATAATATAAAGATTAAAATTGTAATAAAGAAATGAATCAAAACGATATGCCCGTATTTTCCCAATTTTTGTTTATTAACATAGTACTTGTATTCTAATATCTAAAAGTTTGTCAAGATGATTGCGGGACATATTGTTACCCGAATAAAATGTAACTATTATTTAGAATGTGTATATCGAACACTCGGAGCTTAGAATACCACCCTGTTTTAGTCTGACGCCTCTCGACAGCCGTTCCGCCGCCCGGCGGCGGTCAGACTCTGATCACGCGTATGAATCATTACAGTTTTAGATAGTTACCAGTATAACTGTTAAAATAAGCCAGCATAAACTGCGATTCTGGCAATAGATGGCACCTTACACTGACTTGTTTCGATAGATCTTATACCTCAGATAGAGGTTAGTTGCTATGCTTTCGTTCGTTGTCCTGACCTGAGGCCAAGCCTAGACGATGCTGATGAGTTGTCAAAAACTACAAAGCAAAAAAGTCCATGGTTGACTGTCCGAGGTTGGACAGGCAAAACCAGTATATTTAGATGATGGATATTCTTCGTTTTTTCATTTCAGATAAATATATCGATGACGTTGTTTCAATCAAAAGCAAGTCCCTGTTCAGTCGATTCAAAATTGATGACAGTTTTCCGCCGCCCGGCGGCGGTCAGACTCTGATCACGCGTATGAATCATTACAGTTTTAGATAGTTACCAGTATAACTGTTAAAATAAGCCAGCATAAACTGCGATTCTGGCAATAGATGGCACCTTACACTGACTTGTTTCGATAGATCTTATACCTCAGATAGAGGTTAGTTGCTATGCTTTCGTTCGTTGTCCTGGCTTGAGGCCAAGCCTAGACGATGCTAATGAGTTGTCAAAAACTACAAAGCAAAAAAGACCATGGTTGACTGTCCGAGGTTGGACAGGCAAAACCAGTATGTTTAGATGATGGATATTCTTCGTTTTTTCATTTCAGATAAATATATCGATGACGTTGTTTCAATCAAAAGCAAGTCCTTGTTCAGTCGATTCAAAATTGATGACAGTTTTCTCGACGAATATCCAACTTCATGGCCATATAATGAGTCTTTTCAGCACGCTCAGAATAAGGTGCATACACTGAGAGCAGTCAAGTGCAAGAATTCCATGAATTAATCACTGCTAATGAGGAACAAAAACAATTTTTATTACGTTGCATACAAGTACACAGGCAGGCATATATATGACTATAAAAAATTTAGTAAATAATGTTCTTTCAATGATACATATCTAAGAAATATAAAATACAAATAAAGCAGTGTTTTCTTTGTCGAATAAGAATTAGCCTTTAAAATCCATACATCTCGTCTCCCTATTAACTTTCAAATTCAAAGTTTGACCGAAGTCAAATATATCATTCCTCGATCGCAGTTAGATTCATTTTTTGAGTTGTTAGAGTCAAATGGAAAAAATAGATGCTATGCGTATCTCAATTCGAACAAAAATCTGTTTGCCATCATGGGCTGGGACACCCCAGTGACCATGTTTTTTCCTTCTTACCATTGCTCAGAAGTATCAAGTTTCAAAGCTTTTCCACACCAAAAACTGCAACTGGTTTAAGAGCGCCAGTTTCTATAAAATTATGACATTGGTTAGAGATCACAGGTATTTAAAATGAGGTGACTTCGTTGCTGTGACTTATAGCTCTTGTCAAAGGATCGTCAACTCAAGATAGTTACTCTTGAATCAAGAGCACTCTTTCTGTGTACTCACCAAAACTACAGTCATCCATATCAACAGCCGGTAATGTCCTCATATACTGCCTGCATTGACCTCTTCCAAGTCTTCCATAACACTCTTCATGACGCGATCCTTCATCACTGCAGCAGTTTCTGCCATCCAGGTTCCCCGTTCCAGCAAGATCGTGAAGCACCAATTCACTCCAGGCGCCTAAAAGGGATGTGACGTATTTGTGGCTATTTGGAGGTACTGTTTGAAGGGTGGCTGCCACATCTACGGGGCTGGGCAAAGCGGTACGACCAGAGCTGTCGCGAGGTAGAGATTTTCCTGAAAGAAAAAATAATGAGAACTTCTTAAAATGTAACTTAGGAAACCTATCCTGTGATTTTCATGTTCATAGGACTCCGTTTGTCCGGCCGAATCAAACTACAAGTATGTTTGAATTTCTGTTTATTGCACGACATTTTGGCCATCGTGGACCTTTTTCAAGTGCAATGATAATTAATGACACAATTTTATTTATCCATCTTACAGGTGACAGTTTATTTATTTCTCATTTTGTTCGTTCCTATACATGCCGACGTCGCGCGAGGCCATCATTTCAACCTTAAAATGGCACCGCGTAAAACTAGAAAAGGCCAGGACCAGGATAGTAGCCAGAAGATCTCGATTCTAGAATGCGACATCTAACCACAACCTCGCGGCCGGTTATAGCCACTTGCCCTGGTATTTCAAGCTCAAGCGGTCTACAAAAGCAAAAGGATCATTCAAAGAAAGATCATAACAAATAGCGATAAGGGCAAAATCAGCAAAAAGAAGGAAAGTGGATTCGAGCAGAAAATAGGATAGATAACCCGAGCAATACGTATTTCTGCTTGTTGGCTGTTAGCCCCAAAATGAATGCACATATGCCTCTACAAATGTAGAGACACATGCCCATACATCCGGATACGGTGTAATCTGAACAAGCAAAGATGCAGAGGGAACAAAATTTCACACGAAGTCCCCAACAAGGGCCAACCTACACATTGTAGTATAATGGCCAGAAGACGAATCCACTTTCCTTCTTCTTGCGGATTTTGCCTATTATTTTTTTCTATTTGTTTTATACCTTTATCAATTTCTTTTTGTAGATACTTTGGGCTTCAAGTAGCTCGGCAAGTGGATATAGCCGGCCACGTGGTTGAGGTTAGATGTCGCCTTGAAAATTCGAGGTCTTCTGGCCATTATACTACAATGTGTAGGTTGGTTCCTGTTGGGGACTTCGTGTGACGTTTTGTTCCCTCTCCATATTTTCTTCCTCAGGTTATACCTGTATAAGGATGTATGGGCATGTGTATCTACTTTTGTAGTTGCATATGTGGATTCATTTCGGGCCTGATGAAGCCAACCAGCAGAAATACATATCGCTCGGGTTACCTATCCTATTTTCTGCACGAATCCACTTGCCTTCTTTTTTGCGGATTTTGCCCACTATTTTCCTATTTTTTGTTTATATATATATATATATATATATATATATATATATATATACAGGGTGTAAAGTTAGTAGTGGATCAACGAAAGTCAGGTGACAGAGGGCCTCAAAACCTATCGAATGAACTCCTACTGATCGACCAGCCAAAGATTGCTAGGGACGAAAGGGGGAAATGCGATGAAAAAACCTTACCATTAGACGATTTTATATGGAGTCATAGGCGGAGATCGGAGAGACTTGAATTATTAATTGAATTTATATTTTATTACAACTGGTAGTATTAATATTTTTTTGCGATTCATAATGACGTGATACCAAACATACATTATAAGAAATAAATATACACAAACACTGAATATTGAGAACAAAATAAATATATTTTTTAGGCAACAAGTAATATTCCTATGTACGCATTATGATTGAACAGCAAAACAAATTATGCATTCTTCTAAAATAGAATACAACAAGTCAAAAATATCTGACTGAATAGAAAAATATAGGAAAACAAAAAGTAATTTCTTGATGAAATAACCCATAAACAACACATAGAATTAGACTTTCTACTGAGATACTAAAAGCCACAAACCAATAGTATAATAAATGAATATCTAAAAATTCTAAAAGGTAGCCAATCTAGTATAGTTTCAATCCTGATTAGAGTCATGATCACTGTCTGAGGAACTGTCATTGCTATCACTTTCACCTCCTATGTTGATTATTATTTCTTCCTGTATTTCTTGAATGAGACTGTCTTTTTCCCAATATTCATCTTCAATTTTTATAACATGTCCAATAACCTTTTGCCAGTCACTGGCACTTACTGAAGCGATGGCCTTATTAGAAATTTCATCTAGTTTTTTTATAGTAAATTCGCCGCTTGTATTATGGCTTCTAATGAAAAATTTTACTTGTGCCCAAATCATCTCTATGGGATTAAACTGACACATATAGGGTGGCGTTCGAAGTGGGGTGTGTCCGAAACTTCTTATTAAATTATCTATCTTATAATTTTTCTCATCAGATGGTGGCCTATGTAGACAAGCTATTTCATAAAGCTCCATTTTTTTAGCATTAGGATCATGCTCTATACCTTTTTTGCTCAACCACGTGATGATGTCTCTTTTTAGAGAAGATCTAGTTGGAGGCTTGTCTTCCAAAGCTGAATGGTAAGGTGCATTATCCATTATTATAATACTATTAGGAGGAATGTTAGGAAATAGTTTTTCAGTAAGCCACTTCGTGAAATTTTCTTGGTTCATTTGACCGTGATAATCACCAGTGGCACAGCCAGCCTTGAAAATGAGACAGGCTCCAGGAACAAAACCATCTTGCGAACCCGCATGAACAATTATAAGTCGTCCTGGAAATGAATAAATAGCCTCATTTTAGTGTTATTTTAAGTTTGCCAACACCTTTTTGAATCACTATGTATAAAAAACATATTTTTGAGAAAAAAATACTTGCAAGGGATTATGTATTCAATTAGACAAATTAAATGAGCACTTATTAAGAATATTCCAAAATTGAGAAAAATGTATAATAAGCAAAATCGAGGTGAAAGAAACTTTATTACCTGTAGAACTTATATTGCTCAGGACACCCATAATTTCTTCGCTTTGCCAGCATTTCTTGAAAGTGAGGTCATTATCAACCCAAGTTTCGTCCAAATAAATAATATGCCTTCCTTCTTCCCGGAACTTTTTAATAGACCTAAGATACTTGTATCGCCAATGTAAAATACTGGGTCTTTCCATTAGTAATTTCCTTTTGTTGTGGCATTTACGCCAGTAAAATCCTTTTGCTTTTAAAAGCAGCCTCAACGATTCTTTACCAAATGGAAATTCCATTTCTTCCTTCAGTTTGATTAGAAGTTTACTACAAGTAGGTACCACTTTAAAATCACAGTAAAATTTTTCTATCATTCTCCGAATAATGGAAAAATCGACTCCATCAATTTTTTGGATCACAGAAGGGCGTGATCTCTTTTTTCCGGGAGAAGCTAAAGGCTGTGTGGAGGTTGCATTTTGCCTGTCTTTATCTTCTTTTCTAATTTTACTTATAGTTCGTTCACTAACACCCGTATAATATGCCGCCCTTGCATTTCTAGCTACCAGTGGATAAACGAAAGTATTGTTAGCCGCTTCTGCATCGCAAGCACGTATCACGTTTGCTATTATTTCCCTTGCCTGGCTGTGAATAACTTTCCCATGCTTGAATTCCATTATCACCACTAAACAGTAAATTATATTTTCAAAGTATTTGCCAACTGCCTACGCCTATGGGAGTAGGTTTATAAATGACCGTGCCATCGGCACGTTATTCTAGTTTCAGATAAGATAAGAGTTTTGGACCAATCAGCGACCGGATGTTTACCTGCGGCCTGGGTTTTCCAGCTACATTGCCAAATTCAGCGGAACAATTCTATATCTTAAATATGTTAATATGTATGGACCGCATTTTATGTAGAACATCTGACAACTTCGCAATTTTTTGTCCGCATTCTTTCGGCTTGCAATCTTTCGCTGGTCCAACTATACATTGCCAAATTCAGCGGAACAATTCTATATCTTAAATATGTTAATATGTATGGACCGCATTTTATGTAGAACATCTGACAACTTCGCAATTTTTTGTCCGCATTCTTTCGGCTTGCAATCTTTCGCTGGTCCAACAGTATATGTGTGGTCCGAAATTTTATAGTTCAGGAGATATTTGCAATTCTATGAAATTTTGGAAAAAACAGTATAATGAACTTTCAATCGCGATTACAACTAAACCATTAAGTTTGGGGCTATGTTTTTTTTAGATGAGCTAAATGGTTGGTTTTAGCTATGGTTATGCCACTTTTTAACAGAGTTAATTAGAAATCAACGTAAAAAATCTTAAATTCATTTTTTGGGGAAAAATCTATTCCATCCCTCAACTTCAGAGCGCGGTAAAAAAACCTGAGGTTGTATTTTATTATTCATTTTATTGTAAAAACTATTTCAATCCATGTAAAATAAACCCTGAAAATTTCAGCTTGCTACGA